TGTGCGTGTGTGTGTGTGAAACAATTTTCACTCCGAAATTTATAGTTTTTTTACAGCTTTGGATTTACTACAAATTTTTATTTACTACTTATAGTAGCTCATTTTATTTTAGTACTTAAACTAAACTTGCATAGTTGCCTTGACAACTAGCTAAAATAATAAAATATATTTTTATATTTTATTGCAGTTACCATTTATTTTATTATATTTATAATATTTATTTTACATAATAATGAAAAAAGATTTATTGTGTTCTAGTTTTAATTAATGATAATAGTTGGTTCAGAGGTCACCCGTGAACAGCCCTCAAACTGAACTGAGTTTTCTTTTTTACTGTTGTGAAGAGATGTAAGGACTGAGCCAAGTCATGTATAAAATTAATGCAAACACGGTAAAAAAAAAAGTGTTCTTTTAACAATCTTGCTCAAAGCATGCATAACTCCATCAGCTTACTTGACAGGAATCTGTATTGTAAATGAAAACTTGATCTGCACACAACACATGTTCTTGGCAACGAGGATCACTTTTTATGTTTTTATTTATTAATTTATGGAATTATGATAGCAATTATCCACCAAGGTTACACCAGAGTGCTGCATGATAAATATGTATATAAGATGCTGATTTGTTATATCAGAGCCATGTAACTGTCAGAATGTGTTTTGACCTTTGATCTCTGACAGCATCCATCAGCAGTGTGAAAGGTGAGTGACAATTACTGCAAATAATTTAGGAATGCACTGCATCATAATCAATAGGAGTCAAAATATAATCACTTGCATGCAACTCTATAGTCATTCACACACTACAGACTTTTAGAAAACATCAATATTTTTTTTAGGAGTTGGTAAATCATTTTGTCACCAAATCAAACCATGTATTCATGATCACAGGCACTGCTGCATGCAAAGAATCTTATCTTCTGATCTACTGTGCATGTTTCTGCAGACAGTTCACTGAGTGCAGTTCCAACTTGCCCTGAGGTGATGACATAATGCTTTTTTATTATGATGATGATGATGAATTATCTCACTGATTTTGTGCGAATCATCTTATTGATTTTGGATTTTAGTGCATGCAAACGCCACAGTCTTGTTTCATTTCACTTTTATTAATTGATCCATTTAATCATTCAATCATTCATTACTGTATTCGTAAAGAAGAGATGTAAATTTGGCTTGCTAACAAAAATGGAGCTAACGAGATTATTTCTGGCGTGAATCATGAGCTGGTTACTTGCCATTTGTTCTCAAAGCTGATTGTTCATTTTATTCATAGCTGATAAACTAATTAGCGTATATGATTAATTTGCTAGTTCATAAATTACATAACGTTGAACAATTCCATTTCAAACAAACATGCCATTCAGTATTAGTATGGCAAATTTGAATTTGAAATGATCATGGGATTTTTATTGATCACATCTGACAGAGAAATTTCCTGTAAAAGAAAGAGATGCCAGTTTTCCAAAAACTGAAAGAATTCTGGTGCATGTTAAAAGAAGTGTACAATTATTTTATTCATAATTGTGTTTGTTTGATTCAGATTTTTAGTCATTATGGGATTAATTAATTTAGCTGCCTTTGCATTCCAGAGAGTGGAGGGATCAAACTGGGAAACGTGAAGGCCTGTCAGTCTTTCTTAGCCCCTCCCACTCAACCTCCACATGCACTCTTGAAGAATAAACATCTGCAAAACATAAGGTGTTTTCGTTTGATTACATTCTTGTTTTTTATATTTTCCCCTGCGTATTGACATTCAAAACCAAGATATTTTGTATTTCTAAGTAGGTTCTACGCAAATTAAAAACAAAACTTATTGATGGAATCATCCGGAAATATTATTACACGACGCTCTGGAATACTTGATTCTGATTGGTCAGTCGCTGCAATAAGCGGTCAAATATTTCTGAATAATGGCCGTTGTCCTGGGAAACTCTCTATAACTGATCGCTCATCCAGGATCCCATGTTCGTGTCCAGTCTCTCTTTAAAAAGCCATGAACTGGAAAATGTGCGGTTTTTCGGTCATTGTCAGTGATAATAATTGCCTAATAATAAATAAAAACTGACCTGTTTGCCATTTTGGAGGTTATTGGGATAATGTCGCCTAAACAAAATACAAAACTATGTGAGTATAAACATTAAAGTTATAATACAATTTTCCACTGTTTTGTTGGTGATGCAAATATGCGTAATATGCCATAATCCGAAACCTAGCAAACATTTGGGATTGCTTGCATGCGCTCTCTCTCTCTCTCTCTCGCTCTCTCTCTCTCTCTCTCATTCCCAGGCTACTCCAGGGAAAATTCTACCGGCGTTCATGGGGGACGCGCAAGAGGGCAACAAGGGGAGGCTTTGGAAACTGATGGGTGGATCCCTAGCCAATTTTCAAGCCTCGTGATTTGCTAATCGGGGTATGTTTCCCTTGTCATTTTCCTGTAATCCAGGGTCTGGGTCCAGCCCTCTTGACGGTGAGGCGGTCGAGCGCTCCGCGTCTCATTTTGATTAAAGCCCGAATCCCTTCAGTCTGAAGGCTGGGCGCAAGGAAAGGACGATCGAAGGGGGCCCGGCGAGACAAAATACCCTTCACCTATGGCTGTTTAGAGCAGATCGGGCACATTTGGGATTGTAGAAGGGACATCATTTTCAAATAAACAGAGGTCGCCTTGTGCACATTTGTGGGCGCCCGACCATGGAGAGGCCAAGGTGGTCCCCAATGTGGAAAACGAAAAGGTGGCTTTTGGATTCCACTGTTTTCAAATTCATCACAGTTTCCCTCGTCCTGGTTCTGCAGGCTCCAAATGTCAGAGCAGGTAAGGAAAGATAGACTTCCGAACTTTTGATGAAGTTGTAGGGACTGTCAGACAGGAGATGCGCATTTGCGCCTGCGGATTTTTACGCGTTTGATTTAGACAGGTGATCGCAGATCTGTATCCCGTATATGTGTGTGTGCTGCAAGATACAATATTACTAGCGCCCAAATATTTATTTAACATCATAATATTAAAATGAAGAAGAGTATGTGGAGTTCTTTAAAAATTAAACCCACTATTTCCCCAAAATATAGTTCAGTATACATTTAATAATGCAAATGTATGTAACATATAACAGATAAAGATAAATCAGGCTTTGCATATCTACATTATCTGCATAACATGATCACAATGTTATACAAAAAATCATGTACTTTGAAGCAGTTAGTAGTGAAAGTATGCACTTATTTACCAACAAGTAGACTTTGCGCACGACTTGGTTGCTCGCCCTCTGTCCATTTAATTTGCATATACTTTTATAAAAAAAAAACATGCAATTTTATTTTGTTTATGTATATTTTCTACTCTAATACAATCTATGGGAGGGTAGGCAGGAGGAATGTGTCAAGAGAGTGTCATTGAGAGACAGTTTAGGATTAACTTCGGGGGGAAAAAAGCTCTTTGTTTGAACCTGTGGTCCGTTAGGTGTGTGTGGACACGGTTAGCAGGGTGGAATTCCTCAGGGTTTTACATCCATGCCTTACATTTAGGAAAAGAAAATGGAAAAATATCTGCTTGAATAGTGTGATTCTAGGGATGCGATTGTGAGCCAAAGTATGTGTATTCAAAGAGAGCTAAATTAATAAGGAGATTGTCAGTAATTGATGTATGCTCATAAGACTTAAGTGTTCTGGCCACATTTGTGGGATTTTTAAATCTTAAAATCTTTAATTATGATAGGAATTTGATTTATAGTAATGAGACCTGGGAGGTCCAATTAACAATGGGCGTGACTGATCTACTGATCATAAGTGCAACAAGTAATTTGATTATGAATACATATACAGTACATATGTATAGTGTTTTCTTCTTCTTCTAAATTTACATATAATATAGATTTTTTAGCATTTTTTTGTGTCAAAGCAGTTTAGCACCGCAATAGAGGTTTCCACCGGGTATTGAATTAGCATAGATCACAGTGGGTTACAGTCAAAATCACCCTTTCCCCATTCACCCCTAGTTCCACCATAGCCCAAGCAGGGGCTTTTGCAACACTGTGACTCCCATGTCTCCCAGTCCTCATGATGAGTTTCCCAGTGGGAATGCTTCTTTACTAAGTGCCTTCCCGTTATTTGATGACTGTCCTCTCTGCTCATCCCTATTATTTTGGAGGCTTCAAAGGGCCCGGAGCCATACAGGGGCCCCAGCCTGGTCTTATGATAGGTCTCGCTCATCCTTACAGGAACAAATGTCCTTGCAAAATTGAATTAGGCATTTATGTTGTTCAGAAATTACAGATGTAAATAAGATCATATATTGTTGTTGTTCTTATTTGCCACATTTCCTAAGGCTGCTTGAATATGACCAAAATGTGTGAGCGATACGGGCTTAATAACCCACTTTTGTCTATCAAAGCTGATAATGAATCTTAAAATGTATTAATGCCATTTGACTTCTGAAGCTATACGCGTTACATCCCTTGCGGTTTGTGGCATGTGAAGGCATTTCTGTCGGGTGCCCTCTTGAGCTGGCAGTGTACTGACATGTTTTCTCAGCCCCTGGGGCTGAGGAACCTCAGATGTGCATTCCTTCAGACAATGCACACATTTCAGCCATCTTTGCTTACTCTTATGGTAGACAGTGCGGATCAGGTCTCAAGAACATTTAGGCTACATTCACGAGTCATGCCTTTGTGACAAAACTCTATGCATGTTTGTTGGCTAGAAATGTGGTTCAGTTCAGAAATGTTAATTGCATGCAGTTTGACCAAAAAAAAGTTCCAGAACAGTCTGGAAAAAACACAAAAAACAGTCTCATGTTGTTCAAAACCTGTATGAATTTTTTGTTTTTCGTGGAACACAAAAGGAGATATTTATATTTTTTTGTGAAAGCCCCAGCTGCTCTTTTCCATACAATAAAAGTGAATGACATGTGCATAAATTTAGTCTTTGTATTAAGACTAACTAGCAGATTCAAATTAGACCAATCTATGTTTTATGTAACTGACTTAAAGTTATGAGAAAAAAAAGTATGCAGCCTGTCTGGTCCTTATCCACTTTCATTCTGCTTCCTTAAGGGTTCCTCGCAAGAAAAAGTGTTTGGAGCAACATGTGGGAGACCAAGTGTAACAAAATGTTTATTTTTGGCTGAACTGTCCATACTGGAATATGAGGTGAACTGAACAGTATTCTTGGGAAGCAGATGGTTGAAAGGTTTTATTGTTCTTTGATGTTTCTCTACAGTCGTGAAAGGGGGGGAAAGACATGGGGAAAATTTTTTTTGCAAAAAAATTCCATCAGTGAGGTTGCCTCACGGAGAGCCTGTGGCATAATGTGGTCTTGTTCAAGAGGGGAGAGCGAGGGGATAAGGGGGAGAAAGAGAGAGATAGTGGATGAAAAAGAGAGAGAGAGAGAGACATTCTGACTGAATTCATTATTAGAGTCTCAAGGAGCAGCAAGTAAAAAGGTCTCCAGCTTTTTCCATTCAATATCACCCTAAAACAAATTCAAAAATGATTCTGAATGTATTTCACTGGACGCAATGAAAGCGTATCCATCAGGACATCAGTTATTTTAATGCTACATTTGTGTCTTCCTCTTACCATAATAATAGAACTTTAATTATGGTAACAAAGCAAATTATAGAACTTCCTGTAGAAAAAGCCCCTCCCACTTTTGGGTGTTCCATAGAATCAAATAATGGCTGGTTTATGATCTTGATGATGTACAACTCTCTCCCTCTCAGTTAGTACCTCCTTCCACATTCACACCCGATGTCTAATCAACCTTCTCTCCCAAACACAAACACACAGACACACACACACACACACACACACACACCAGTCTGTCTAATGCAAAGCATGACAGTGAAAATGATCAGTGTGTGTGTTTGCACAGCAGTCTGGTTAAAATCACACCAGGTCATCAGCTGCGCTTTCCTAATTATGGCTCATTCTCAGTTGGTTTTCCAAAGGATTTAGGAGTATTGACATTTTTTTTTGGCACTTGCATGGCAAAAGGTCAGACTCAGGCTACAGCACCACATCTGGAATATATGAGGCCTGAGGTTACGGAGAACGTCTCCAGAAGATCCCTCACAACAACTCTCCTCCTCAGCTCTGTCATTGTATTGGTTGAGGTTTTCCTTTTGTCTAGCTTGTATGTTCGGTGTAAAGCTCAGATTGAGTCTCTCAGATATAGTGGGAGATCATTTCATTCAGCACAAAGAACCAGCAGAAGAATGGTTTGTCGGCATTGCTTTTTAAAGCTTTAAATGGGGTGGTAAATGTTTTCTCAGCAGCGGGAATGCCTCAGCATCTTTATTACAGCGTTTTAGACCTCCCTCAGATGAGTCCAGCCTTTTGTGACATAGCAGCCCTTTATTTTTGGTGGTTTCAACATTCAGTTTTATGTGGTAGATGCCAAAGTCTACTCAAGTCCCAGAAGACACATATGGCACTGTTGGTAGACTCTGGATAACACCCAAGAGCCAAATATGTGCCATATATTCACAGTGAATCACAAAGAAACTCTTCTCAATGGTGCTTTCTAAGGTTTTGAGTTCTTCAGTGAAGTTCCAGGGTGATCCGGGGTGAACAGTGTTTGTCTTTCATCTTGCTTCGTTAACCATAGCGAAACCGTTTGTAGAGAAAGGAAAAAATGAAATCGCATCATATGACCCCTTTAACCCAGCTGTTGCTGAAGTATCTTCCAAAGAGTTGAAGATGGAATCGGGTATTTTACAACAAGGGTCAAATCTCATAGGAATGAAGACCAGTGATTTGAGTTTGGTCATATAGCCAAGTAAAACAAATACTGGCCTCTTTTTTGTGGTTGTGGGACATAAAACAATGTTAAATTTGATACACTCTCTCTGGTCATTAAACTTACCGTCCACAACCTATTATATGGCTAACCAACTAGAGATACTTCATTAAGGTAATCATTAACTGAAATATAACCAGCAGAATCTTAAAAATTAAGAAGCTGTTTTATATTTGATCCTAGATTTGTTTTTGATATCATATCATAATTGCAGTATATAAATATTTTTTTATAATAGTAAATATCAACAATATTTATATATGGTAAACAATAGTAAAATAATTGTAAATATATAGTATTTAGATTATCCTAAATAAGTTTTGTTGAGTCTTCAAATGTTGCTTGCATATTTATTACTGTATATTAGTTATTGTTTATCTAGATGTAAGAAACGTTTGTCATTCTGTTGAAGTTTAACTTAAAAACATGAAAACACATTTCTCAATTTATCTAGGAGTTCAATATATTTTTTAAAAAGTATAAGTATTATTATATTTAAAAAAAAATGTTTATCTGCTAAACAATTAATGCATTTCTTCTTATTTATTTATTAACATTTGTAATATTTTTTCTACAGCAGAACCTGTGGATGTCCTAAAAGTATTAGAAATTCACACTATCCCAGAAGGAGTACAGAAAACTTCAGGATTTTGCACAAACCGAAGAGCATCACAGCCGGACACAGCCTACAAAATAGGCAAGAATGCCCAGATCAGTGCCCCAACCAAGCAGCTTTTCCCAGGTAAGCTGAACCCCATGAGCATGTTTCCACATCCTGCCTACATTTAGCTGCATTTAAATGTGCCCTTTGTTGTGGTTGCCAAGGCTTTTGACAGCAGATGCCATCCCTGATTGTGCAGGGCCATGTTTCACTCAGACGCTTGTATTGTTAAGCGACAGGAGAACTTGGATGAAATCTCTTGACCACAGCGTGGCTTGTCTGCTGAGTTGCATAAGAAATGAACAGAAACTTTTAAAGCGATAGTTCACTCAAAAATGAAAATTCTGTCATTTACACACCCTCATGTCATTCCAAATTACTTCGTGCAACACAAAAGAAGATGTTTTGCAGAATGTCAAAGCTGCTCTTTTATGTACAAATAAAAATTAATCAATGAACCAATCAAACCCCAATAAAAATACCCCATACAAATTGTGTACCATATTCTAAGTCCTCTGAGTTTTTATGATAGGTTTGAGATGCATTATGTAATCGGAAAGTGGTTATAATGTTGCAAATGTTTCTTTATATGGTTGAAAACAGATGCATGTTTATTAATGTATGTTAATATCTGTTTAGCATATATAATGCCATATATCTGGGTCCGTATTTATCAAGCTTCTCAAAGTGCCATTTTTGTCTTAAGTGCTGAGAATTCATTAAATTTACTCCTACTTTCAAACTTAAAGGGTTAGTTCACCCAAAAATAAAAAATTAGGCTGTGTTTTACTCACCCCAGAGTCATCCTAGGTGTATATGACTTTCTTCTTTCAGACAAATCCAGTCGCGGCTCCGGGGGGTGAATAAAGGCCTCCTGTAGTGAATCGATGCGTTTTTGTAAGAAAAATATCCATATTCAAAGCGTAATAATCACTTTAATGTAGCTTGCGCCAACAGTTGTACACGGAAGCAGCTCCGGGCGGACAACGTATGAGTTCAGCCTTGCGCATGCTTGTCTCGTGAAAACCAACGTTTGTTTACAGGATCAAAGTAAGTAAAGTTTCCTTACTTTAGCAATAACTCCGACTGGATTCGTCTGAAAGAAGAAAGTCATATACACCTAGGATGGCTCTGGGGTGAGTAAAACACAGCCTAATTTTCATTTTTGGGTGAACTAACCCTTTAAGTATAAAAGCAAGTTATCAAATTTCTTAAAGCTAAGAATCACTCTTACTCTCGCAGTTATTTAAGACAGCTCGAGAGGTTTCTCAAGTGGTTAGGAGTTGCCAGTAGGGGCTTGTGATGGCGCTGAGGAGACAGATATGTGCGCGAATCTTTCAGGAGAGGAAGAATGTTCTTGAAATGTTTTCGACGATGAGCAGTTAATCAAACAGTTTCATTTCCTTAGTTATTCAAACAGAAAACGAGCAAAGAATATTTACATTACCAAAGAACATCATAACTGACTTCAGTCTAGCTCGAGTATTATGCTCTTTAAAAACACTCCCGTTATAATTAGTGAAGCTATCTACACTGTAACATGAATAAATCTCTTACCCCTTATTTACACTGCACACGTCTGCGGCACGTTACGGCTCCGACATGGCCATCGGAGCTGATCACGGCTACTCACCAGCCGCGCCTAAATTTTAAACCCTAAATTGAAGGTTGTGATGACGATACATTCATAATGTATTCTCTTGAAAATTATTTATTGTCAAAGGTGTGTTGAATGTAAACTCCTACTAGGAATTTAACCATTCAATGTGAATTTATCGGAGAATATTCTTAAATAACGAAATCTATTCAGTGATTGGTCCATGCGTATTTCGTCATCCAAAATCCCGTTTGTGGCGCAGCAAAGTGTCGTGAATCAACTCTAAGACTGACACTTAAGATTTAGTCCTACACTTTGCTTAAATTACGACTGAGATGCTTGATAACTAACTTTTAAGCGCTGCTTTGAGCCAAGAAGTTTTTTACACTCAAGTCAATTCTTAGCAGCGTTTTTGAGAGTAATTCTCAGAGGCTTGATAAATACGGGCCCAGGTGTTTATTATCAAGTTGTTTGCATAGCTCCTTTTTAGGATATTAAAGGTCTGATAAATTACATCTGATAAAATATGCCTGTATTACGTCTGATAAATTGTATAAAATGTCAAATCATATTTTAATGTTTTTCTCATTTTGTGCCATTAATGGCCTTTTTAAAAAGTTAAACAAAGCATATGCACTAATAAAGCAACTAATTAAAGAACTGCATGAATTAAACTGCTTTATTAAAGCAATAAAATGCATTATGGATGACAAAGGAATCAGTTTAAATGTAATATAAAAATAAAAAAATAAATCACTTGTCAACCTGACAAATATATAGAAAGATTTACAGTTTTTTTCCAATTGCTAACATCCCTTTGTCCAATCTGTAGTCACATTTTCAAAACTCTATACAAAATTAGCACAACATTTGTCTGTTGTGACCATACCATTAACACAATTTGTGTTGTTTTCACACAATTTTCAGTCAATTAACACGTTTCTAAAATGCTTAAGTTTTCTTTTCACACAAGATTACCCCATACCAAAATCATGGATCTTCTTATCCTTCTTTTTTTTTTTTTT